GGGTTTCACCATGTTGACCGGGATGGTCTCGATCTCCTGACCTCGTGATCCACCCGCCTCGGCCTCCCAAAGTGCTGGGATTACAGGCTTGAGCCACCGCGCCCGGCCTTACTTTATTTATTTTTTTGGAGACAGGGTCTCACTCTTGCTCAGGCTAGATTGCAGTAGTGCCATCTCAGCTCACTGCAACCTCTGCCTCCGAGGCTCAAGCGATCCTTCCACCTCGGCCTCCCAAGTAGCTGGGATTGCAGGCCTGTGCCAGCACACCCAGCTGTGGGAGTGAATTGAGGGCATTTGTAGAGGAGATTTTGGTATCTAGGAAAGCAAATAAACTCCTCTTCAAGGGGTACCTTCCAACTGTGAGGTACTATAGAGGGCCCAGGTGTACTTGAGAAATGAGAAGCAGAGAGGATTACAAGAAAACTTACAAAATGGGAGGTGCCAGAGGGCCTTAGGGGACTTCCATAATTATCTCTGGTAGTTGGCAGTGACCAGATAGACAGGAAGATAATTGAGAGATCGTGGGACAGAACTGGGATGTGGGAAAAAAGGGCATTCTGATCATCCCCTTATTCCATCCTTTGACCCTAAAGAGACGTATGAGCGGCTCGAGGCTGACAAAAAGAAGCAGGTTCATAAGAAGCGGAAGTGCCCTGGGCCCATAATCACCTATCATTCAGTGACAGTGCCACTTGTTGGGGAGCCGGGCCCCAAGGAAGAAAATGTCGACATAGAAGGGTGAGTGAATCTCAAGAGAAAAGAGATTGTGTGTTCAGTTCTCTGAATGAAATGTTCATTCAGGAATGCAAGTTCAGAGAACTCTTGGCCCCATTTGGCTTGCTTTTCTCACTTAGCTCTCCTTCACACTTGGAGATTTCTTTCAGATTCCTTACTCCCTTCAGCTCATTTCTTTTCTTTTTCTTTTTTTCTTTTTTTTGAGAGTCTCGCTCTGTTGCCCAGGCTGGAGTGCAATGGCATAATCTCGGCTCACTGCAACCTCCGCCTCCTGGGTTCAAGTGATTCTTCTGTTTTTTTTTTAAAGATAGGGTTTCACCATATTGGTCAGGCTGGTCTCCAACTCCTAACCTCAGGTGATCCACCCACCTCAGCCTCCCAAAGTGCTGGGATTACAGGTGTGAGCCACCATGCCCGGCTCAAGTGATTCTCCTGCCTCAGCCTCCTGAGTAGTGGCTGGGAGTATAGGTGCGTGCCACCACGCTCAGTTAATTTTTGTATTTTTAGTAGAGTCAGGGTTTCATCATGTTAATCAGGATGATCTCAAACGCCTGACTTTGTGATCCTCCCCCTCGGCCTCCCAAAGTACTGGGATTACAGGCGTGAGCCACTGTGCCTGGACTTTTTTTTAAGACAGGGTGTTACTCTGTTGCCCAGGCTGGAGTGCAGTGGTGCTCACTACAACCTCCACCTCCTGGGGTCAAGCAATCCTCCCACCTTAGCCTCCCAAGTAGCTGGGAGTACAGCCACACACCACCACGCCTGGGTGATTTTGTATTTTTTGTGGAGATGGGGTTTATCTGTGTCACCCAGACTCCTGAGCTAAAGCAGTCCTCCCACCTTAGCTTACTAAAGTGCTGGGATTATGGGTGTGAGCCACTGTGTCCGGTCCAGTTTAGTTCTTTCTTTTTTTTTTTTTTTTTTTTTTTTTTTTTTTTTTTAGATTGTCTCTGGACAATATACCAAGTAACAGTTTAGTTCTTTCTTATTCCCTTTTCTTTTAGCTTCTCTCTTCTCTTTCCTATTTTACCTTCTAGCTTAGCTTTCTTTTCCCATCTATGACTTAGTACGTTCCTCAGAATGTTCCCAGCACCCTACCTCGTTTGTCTCTTTCCTCGTCTCTCTGATTTCCTTCTTT